TATGCCTATAGGTCCAAGCCTTGAACTACATGTGGTGGCCCTGGACACTGTCATCATTTAAAAGGATACAGGCCCCAAATTTGGCCTAAAAGGAGGCACAGCGCTTCCTTGCTCTGGAGCAGAAAGGACCTTACCTGGGCCTGAGTGTTGTTTGTTTGTTGTAGGGGAAAGAAAGAGAGATCAGACTGTTACTGTGTTTATGTAGAAAAAGGAAGACATAAGAAACTTCATTTTGATCTGTACTAAGAAAAATTCTTCTGCCTTGAGATGCTGTTAATCTGTAACCCTAGCCCCAACCCTGTGCTTGTAGAAACATGTGCTGTATTGACTCAAGGTTTAATGGATTTAGGCCTGTGCAGGATGTGCTTTGTGAAAAATGTGTTTGCAGGCAGTATGTTTGGTAAAAGTCATTGCCATTCTCCAGTCTCGAGTACCCAGGGACACAATACACTGCGGAAGGCCACAGGGACCTCTGCCCAAGAAAGCCTGGGTGTTGTCCAAGGTTTCTCCCCACTGAGACAGTCTGAGATATGGCCTCGTGGGAAGGGAAAGACCTGACCGTCCCCCAGCCCAACACCTGTAAAGGGTCTGTGCTGAGGAGGATTAGTGAAAGAGGAAGTCCTCTTTGCAGTTGAGATAAGAGGAAGGCATCTGTCTCCTGCTCATCCCTAGGAATGGAATGTCTTGGTATAAAACCCGATCGTACATTCTATTTACCGAGATAGGAGAAACCGCCTTGTGGCTGGAGGTGAGACATGCTGGCGGCAATACTGCTCTTTACTGCACTGAGATGTTTGTGTAAAGTTAAACATAAATCTGGCCTATGTGCACATCGAGGCACAGCACCTTTCCTTAAACTTATTTATGACACACAGTCCTTTGCTCATATGTTTTCCTGCTGACCCTCTCCTTACCATTACCCTATAGTCCTGCCACATCCCCCTGAGATAGCAGAGACAGTGATCAATAAATACGGAGGGAACTCAGAGACTGGGGACGGTGCGGGTCCTCTGTATGCTGAGCGCCGGTCCCCTGGGCCCACTTTTCTTTCTCTATACTTTGTCTCTGTGTCTTTTTTTCTTTTTTCTTTTTTTTTTTTTTTTTTGAGAAGGAGTTTCACTCTTGTCTCCCAGGCTTGAGTGCAATGGTGTAATCTCGGCTCACGACAACCTCTGCCTCCCGAGTTCAAGTGATTCTCCTGCCTCGGCCTCCCAAGTAGCTGGGATTACAAGCATGTGCCACCATGCCCATCTAATTTTGTATTTTTTAGTAGAGACAGGGTTTCGCCATGTTGGTCAGGCTGGTAAACTCCCAACCTCAGGTGATCTACCTGCCTTGGCCTCCCAAAGTGTTGGGATTACAGGTGTGAGCCACCGCGCCTGGCGTCTCTGTGTCTTATTCCTTTTCTCAGTCTCTTGTCTCCATCTTGTGAGAAATACCCACAGGTGTGGAGGGGCAGGCCCCCTTCAGTTTGTTGTTTTTTTATTTTTATTTTTATTTTTTGGTGTTTTGTCTGGTTTAGTTTGACTTTTTGGGTTTTTTTTTTTTTTAGAGACAGGATCTCACTCTGTTGTCCAGGCTAGAGTGCAGTGGCACCATCATGGCTCACGGCAACCTTGAACTCCTGGCCTCAAGTGATTCCCCTGCCTCAGCCTCCCAAGTAGCTGGAACTACTGGCACACACCACCATGCCCAGCTAATTTATTTTTATTTTTTTGTAGAGATGGGGTCTTGCCATCTTTCCCAGGCTGTGGCCTGAGTGTTAATAGGGATGTAGCTTGGCATGAGTGTAGGGTGCTCTGGATCTGGGTGGGATGTGGCCATCTCCTGGATCAAGTTGATCATGGGAGTAGCCTGGGATGAGGAGAGGCCACAGCCCATCCTGTCCTGAGAGTATGTGGAGGCGGGGAGAGCACAGGGGCAAGGGTGAAACAAGTATCAAAGTATAATTTTCAAAAACTTGTAATTGTTAACTCTTTTACAGATATTCAAAGATTCATATCACTTATTAGCAAGGGAATTGGAAATTGATTTCCAAGTGAACAGGTATATACATTTTTTTCAGTGAAAAATAATAGAATATTTGAATAAGATTGCAAAGTTAGATATAAAAACTATTTAATATCCCTACAGGGCAATAAAACCATACCTTTAAGGTTATTTCTTCCGCACAGAATCAATTTGTAGCTATACCAGATGAATATATGAAAATGCATCAATTGTCTGCAAGTTAACATCTGTTTTTACACGACCTACATCCTAATCAATAACAGAGTCAATCAAATAAAGGTTCATTACACCAGAGCAATGAATTCTCAACCCGGGGCAGTTTTAAGCCCCAGGGGACATTTGGCAATGCCTGAAGATGATTTTGGTTGTCACAATGGTGGGAGTAGGATACTACTGGCATCTAGTAGAAAGAGGCCAAGAATGCTTCCAGTCACTCTGTGATGTAGAGAAGAATCCTCTGTAACAAAGGATTATCTGGCCCAAAATGTGAATGGTGCTGACTGTGGGCAAACCAGTCCCTAGAACAGTTTGTTAGACTGTGTTGTAGTATGACTTTGCAAGGATACACGGGATAACAAAATAATATATTTTCCTTATTTCCTAGTGTCATGTGGTGCAAGGTTAAAGATAACCAGGGGCACACATGCTTGTATCTTGCCACAATGTCAGCCTTTTATTGATGCTAGTTCAATCACAGCAATGTGAGCTACGTGGAGTTCCCAAGGAGGCATTCTCCTTAGTACTTCCCCTTCACTCCGGAGGCAGAGCAGCGGCACACAGGTTCAAGATACTCCAGAAGTCAGTCAATATTGCAAAGCATATATAATAGTGTACCTTTTTTTTGGTGGGGGGGGGACAGAGTCTCACTCTGTTGTCCAAACTGAAGTGCAGTGGCGTGATCTCAGCTCACCACGACCTCTGCCTCCCGGGTTCAAGTGATTCTCCTGCCTCAGCCTCCCGAGTAGGTGGGACTACATGTATGCACCACCATGCCCAGCTAATTTTTTTCTATTTTTAGTAGAGACAGGGTTTCACTATGTTGGCCAGGCTGGTCTCGAACTCCTGACCTCGTGATCCACCTGCCTCAGCCTCCCTAAGTGCTGGGATTACAGGTGTAAGCCACCACACCCAGCCAATAGTATACTTAATATATAAACGTTCTTGGTGAGACATTCTACAACAAACAAACGAATATTTAACATCAAGAAGAAAAAGAGATAGGAGAAAGGGTTAAGGAACCAGTCCATGGGCAAAGACAAAAGAGGTCCTAGTATGGACTTAGGCAGTCCACCAGTCTTGCAAGAAAGAATTTTTGATGTGGCACAGCCTTCCACAGCAGATGCCAAGTTCTTATCACAAGTAACTACAAGATAGTGTCAGTTAAGATGGCCTTTTCGTGCTGCTGAAGGCCTAATCTTTATTGTTACAGAGTCCTCTGGAGAGAACTGATGGTGGAAGAATGTGCTTGTTCATGTGCTTAACTGGTTGGATGCAGTCTTTATTCTATTTTAATTAAGCAAAATATCTTGTTGGCAAAGTGTTCTATGAAAAATGAAATGGAGTCTTCTTCTAAGATGGAGTTAGGTATGTCAAAGGTGCTCTATACACCTAGTTTCTGATAACTTACTATTTTTTTTTTGAGACGGAGTCTCACTCTGTTGTCCAGGCTGGAGTGCAGTGGTGCGATTTTGGCTCACTGCATGCCTCTGCCTTCCAGCTTCAAGTGATTCTCCTGCCTTAGCCTCCTGAGTAGCTGGGACTACAGGCGCACACCACCATGCCTGGCTAATTTTTGTATTTTTAGTAGAGATGGGATTTCACCATGTCGGCCAGGCTGGTTTCGAACTCCTGACCTCAGGTGATCTGCCCTCCTCAGCCTGCCAAAGTGCCGGGATTACAGGCGTGAGCCACCATGCCCAGCCTGGTTGTTCTCAATTCTAACTACATCTTAAAATCACCCAAAGAGATTTTTAAAATCCCAATTCTTGGGCTCCACCTCCAGAAGTTCTGGTTTGATTTTCCTGGGGTAAAGCCCTGTTTTTATTTTTTTCCTTTTTATATTTCACCAGGTATGGGAAGCTGTGGATTCATAACCTGAGTAAATTAAGGAATTTCACATTATGAACTCAATTTGAGATGGGCTGGACTGGTGATACCTGGAAGGGGTAAATGAGAATTCACTCTGGAGGCACCTTATGCCTCAGGGAGCATCCACAAATTATTTTTCAGGAACAGTGACCAGCAAGTTGTCACAGATATCCAGCATGCAAGGGGACAGAACCACATGAATAAGATCAAATAGAAACAACAGATAGTATAAGCAGATTCATCTAAACTGAGTAGCTTTGAACTAGGGATGTTGCTTTGGTTTGGGTTCAAGGCCCCCATTCAACATCTCTTAGCCCACAATGGTGAGTCTTCAAGACATATGAATATACATTACAGTGACAGCTAGCCCTTGGTATCTGCTGGCACGTAGATACCATTGCACCACTAATTTCCCATAGAACCTACCCCTCCTCCAAAGTCTTTATAGGAGCTGTAGTAGTTGCCTCTGTTTAGATCATGGGTTTTATTTCCCACTGTGTCCTCTATATGTGGTGCTAGATATTATTCCTTTTTTTTTTTTTTTTTTTTTTTTTGAGACAGAGCCTCGCTCTGTCGCCCAAGCTGGAGTGCAGTGGTGCAATCTTGGCTTACTGCAAGCTCCGCCTCCTGGGCTCACACCATTCTCCCACCTCAGCCTCTTGAGTAGCTGGGACCACGGGCGCCCACGACCATGCCCGGCTAATTTTTGAAAACATTTTTAGTAGAGACAGGGTTTCACTGTGTTAGCCAGGATGGTCTCGATCTCCTGAACTCGTGATTCACTCACCTCAGCCTCCCAAAGTGCTGGGATTACAGGCGTGAGCCACTGCGCCAAGCCAATATTGTTTATTTCTAATCAGCACTAATTTCTACCTCTTTTTGTGCTCTTACCTTTGTTTCAGGGGCTGGAAACCTAACAATTTCACTTCCTAGACTACTTGCTAAAAGTCACCTAAAAAGTCAAAAGTCAAAAAAAAAAAAAGACACTGGGCTATAGCTCAGATTACACAAGTATCTCTAGCTAAAGGATATGAATGAGTAAATGAGGCAAAATAGGGAAGAGAAGAAGGGCTTTAATTTTTTTTTTTTTTTTTTTTTGAGACAGAGTCTGGCTCTGTTGCCCAAGCTGGAGAGCAGTGGCGTGATTTCGGCTCACTGCTGCCTCTGCCTCCTGGGTCCGGGTTCAAGCAATTCTCCTGCCTCAGCCTCCCGAGTAGCTGGGATTACAGGCACACACCACCATGCCCAGCTAATTTTTGTATTTTTAGTAGAGACGGGGTTTCACCATGTTGGCCAGGCTGGTCTTGAACTCCTGACGTTGTGATCCACCCACCTCGACCTCCCAAAGTGCTGGGATTACAGGCATGAGCCGCTACGTCTGGCAGGGCTTTAATTTTTATCTACTGCTTTAACTTTCACTTCAGTGTGTTGGAGTGTGGTGGACAAGCACTCTCCCTCACTCTGCCATCCTGTTTCTTGTTGATATTTTCAACCATTCAGGTATGGATGTCTGAGGCCTCTCTTTGACAGTGATAGACAATTTCCTTGATATTCTTAATTGCTTATTTTTCCATTGACTTATAAATGAGAAAAATATAAAAATGTGAAGCTATCAACAAATTCTGCTGGATATTGATTATAATCACAGTGACTAAGTTAGGCATACATTTAAAAATCCAGAGTCTCTGTGTATTTGTTTCTGTATGCTGCCTATGTATCTGAAGTAAATTTGTCTCCACCGCCTGCTTCTACTTGTAACAGCCTCATGCCACTTCCCTTCCTGTTTCCTTTCACAGTATATTTTATAAAATAATAACTTTTACTAAATACTGCTGTAAATTTAACATGTATTATGACAAATGCATGTAACAGTTCCAAAACAAAGATTTACCTCCCTTTAACATCTGAGAAAATTGAGTTCAGAAAGAATAGTAATTGGCCCAGAAAAATTCTGGACACTCAGATGGTACACAAAGGGAAATTAACAAATCATGGTGCATATACAATGGGGTCCTAAAAACAATAAGAATGATGATGGGAAAATTAGGCTTTTAAAACCCTTAGCATAAAATGTCATTCTCAAACCAGTCACACATGGAAAGATAGTCTTAAAATTGTTAACAATGGTTGCCTCTGGAAATAGACCATAAATAAGCTTCTTTCTGAAGAAAATGGTGAATACAGGAATACCAGTGGCACGCCTGGGGAACAGTAAGAAAGTAACTGACAGGGCACAGTGGTTCACTGTAATCCCAGCACTTTGGGAGGTCGAGGCGGGCAGATCACCTGAGGTCAGGAGTTCAAGAGCAGCCTGGCCAACATGGCGAAACCCCATCTCTACTAAAAATACAAAAATTAGCTGGGCGTGGTGGTGCATGCCTGTAATCCCAGCTATTTGGGAGGCTGAGGCAGGAGAATCGCTTGAACCTGGGAGACAGAGGTTGCAGTGAGCCAGGACCATGCCACTGCACTACAGCCTGGGCGACAGAGTGAGCCTCCATCTCAAAAAAGAGAAAAAAAAAAAAAAAAAAACCCTGATAAAAGCAAACATCATTTAAATGTTCTTTATTTTTTTTGCATTACGAAATAGTTTAAATATACAGAAAGACACAGAGAGTAAGAACCGACTCATATACTCACAGTCAGCTTTATCAAATTTTAAGAATTGGCTATACAGTATTTGCTTATTTTTAAAATAAATAAATAATGAAAGATATTTTCATTTGCATCCTTTCCCCAATCTCATTTGTCTTTCTCCCTGCAGGTCATCACTGTTCTGAATCTGATGATTATTTTATGAATTCTTTTAGATTCTTTTCATATAGTATTTAGCCATGAAAAATATACATAACACTAATTTGCATGTTTTGAAATTGTACATGTTATACTGTATTATACAAAATACTCTGTAGTTCAATTTCATTAATACTATTTTTGAGATTTACCCATGTTAACAGAAATATCTCTATCCATTTTAGTTTGCATTCTATCTTGTGTTTAACCTAATGATTAGATTGCTTTCAACTTTTCATTCTCACAAACAGTGCTGCAATGGACCATCATATATATCTCCTTGAAACACGAGGAGAGACTATGTAGAGGTTTAAACGTGGAATTGCTGGGTCAAATGTTATTCACATCTTCAACTTTACTAGACATTGCCAAATTGTGCTAAATACAACTACTTCCAATAGCACCGTATGAGTGTTCCTATTGCTCCACATCTTTCCAGTAACTGCCACTCTAATGCTTTTGCCAATGTGATGATTTTGAAATAGTTCATTGTGATTTTATTTTGCATTTCCCTTACTACTAGTGAATCCCCTTACTACTAGTAATACCCCCAAATCCAGTCTTTCTCTACTGGTATGAACCATCACCATACGCAGTTTCTACAAATAGAGTCGATAATTTTCTTGCTGCTCTTAAGAATTTATACCTCATAGATAAATTTCAGAACAAACTTGTGAAGCTAAAGGGCAAAAAAAAAAAAAAAAAAAAAATACACTGAAACATTTTGGCTGGAATTGCAGTGAATTTTTAATTAGGAAGAATTGCCAACTTTATCTCTGTAGTCTAGGCTATATAATGTTCCTTGATTTATTTTCTTGTTACTCTTCAGTTTTCTGGGTTTAGAAAATCTACTGTTTTATATTTAATTATTAATTTACATATCTCCACCTCTGGAATTTTACTCTGTGAGAATATGGCCTTTGTATTGCTGTCATTTCCTCATACCTAAAACAGTGTATGACAAATAGTAATTACTCAATATTAACACAATGAATGCCTATATTAATATTTGTATATCTGTCTGTTGTTTTCTTCCCTTAATCCCCTTTTGATTTCAATTTTGCAACCACTGGATAAAAAATTTTAAAACTTTACATTTTTCTATAGTATGGAACCCTTTACATGCCTTCTAAATTACCAGAATTCAACCATATAATTACCTGGGTATGGTGCTTTTTTCTCTTTTTTGAGATGGAGTCCCGCTCTGTTGCCCAGGTTGAGGGGCAGTAGCACGATCTCGGCTCACTGCAACCTCTGTCTCCTGGGTTCAAGCAATTCTCTTGCCTCAGCCTCCTTAGTGGCTGGGATTACAGGTGTGTGCCACCACACTTGGCTGATTTTTGTATTTTTAGTAGAGACAGGGTTTCACTATGTTAGGCAGGATGGTCTCCAACTCCCGACCTCATGATCCACCCACCTCAGCCTCCTAAAGTGCTGGGATTACAGATGTGAGTCACTGCGCCCGGCCAGGGTGTGGTGCCTATTTAAGTGGACCACGTGAATTTCTATGTTTATTGATTTTTTTTTTTGTTAATTGTAACCATTTCTATTCCTTCCTTGATCTAAATATAGGTTCTGCATTCTTCCCAGTGAATTATATTTTTCTTAATTGGCTTATCCAATTCATTATCTTTAGAAACTTCCTAAGACTGGCTATCAGTGTTATAGTTCCACTACCTAAGTTTATATCCACTACTAAGCTACAGTACAAAGACTGCCATTTATGTTCTAAAATTTTTAGATTTTCCAAATTCCGAACTGGTGTTTTGCAGGAATGCTCTACTTTGTCCAATAAGGAATCTTGTTTTGATTGTGAGGAGTAAATGATATATGTAGAGTACGTAAGTTAATATATGTAGAGTATGTAAGACAGTGCCTGATGTGTAGTGGGCACTCAGTATATGTTAGCTGTTATCCTTTATTGAATATCTGCTATATTTGACAGACTATATGAAATACTTTACATGCAAATTTCTCATTTAATATGCACCAGTCTACAACAGACACTATTTCACTTAATACTAACATTTCTACAGTACAGTATCCTGTATTATTCCTATTTTAAGATTTAAAGAAAACCCTGAGGTTTAGATAAGCAAATCGCTCAAAGTCACACAATGCCATAGTAGTGTTGGAGCTATGATTTTCCAGAATCTAAGCTCTTCGTCCTGGGAAGTGCCTAGGGCCCAAAGAAGAAGACTGGAATAAAATAAGGCTGAATGGTGTGTAAGAACCAAATAACAAAAAGCCTCGCAGACAATTTTAAAGGCTGTGAATATTAGTCTAAGAACAATAACAAGCAAAAAAAAAAAAAAAAAAA